CCTTACGCAGTACGCTGATAAACACGGGATTTGTGACATGACAATTTTTGGGTGTATCTTGAGATCCTTAAATCAATCACCCACAGATTTTCGGTAACATCTACTTTTATGAATTACAATACGTAACATCTCATATTGCTGCATTTCTCTGCGTTTATGCGATGACGCACATATACAGGGTGCCCGCAAAGTTGGGGTTTTCCTTTGCACGACGTGTAGATTTTGAAAACATAAGCAATTTTTCTTAGTACCATATACAGCAATGTCTTAAGGGAACCGAGATAAAGGGCTCTGCAACATCAAAAATATCTGAATACCGTCCTGTAGCCGCGACCCCCGCGATATCCCCGACTGGTACGAGGTCTCAACCCGACGGCAGAACTGGGTCGGGGTCAGTGTGTCAGGTTAGTATGCAACCTTCAACCGACGGTTACGGTCACGCATGTAGAGGTAATCGCGTAAACGAGAATCGCTCAACAAGCGCTAGAGACGTGGCTAGAGAAGTGCAAGTATCAAAAACTAAAGTGTGGCAAACGCTGAGTGAAGAGACGCTGTATCCGTTTCACGTCCAACGTGTACAAGCCCTTCAACCTGACGATTTTCCAGCAAGAGTGCGGTTTTGTGAGTGGTTGTTGCATCAACATGACAATAATCCGGACTTTTTGAAGTGCATATTGGTGACAGACGAATCTACGTTCACGCGTAATGGGGTGAATAACTTTCGCAACACTCATGTTTGGTCAGTAGAAAATCCGCACGCTGTCCGTCGGGCACATTTTCAACAAACATTTTCGGTGAATGTTTGGGCCGGCATGGTGAACGGTATGCTCATTGGACCATTTATTCTCCCAAATCGATTGGACGGGATGCAATTCCTTGTTAGAAGATGTGCCATTAAGTGTACGACAATCAATGTGGTTTCTGCGTCTGCTCGGTAGCGCTTCAGCCGAACTAATTTCTGTTGGAGCGGTATGATTTCGGGCAGAGACGTACCCCTTCTCGTCAACTGGAGAGTGAGTACTTTTTCCTTTATTTTTTTTACTTGGTCGCCCTCGTTTCACTACACATTACCTTTGTTATTTCAAGGGTAGTTGTTTCTGAAAAGGAAAACCCCAACTTTGCGGACACCCTGTATAATGTTAAGACTTGTCTATTCCTGTTTAGCTCTATGTTTAGAGAGCATATTGCGTTTATTAGTAGACAAAGTCAAATATCTGGAGATCGTATTTGGCAAGTCCCTCACCTGGAAAGATCACATAGAAGCTGTCATCGTAAAGACCAGAGCAGCCATGGCCCAACTCTACCCATTACTGGGTAGACACAGCCGGATGCCGCTAGCGACCAAGCTACGGCTGATCAAGGCCATCGCCAGACCTCAGCTCGCTTACGCCTCCGCGGTCTGGCTACCGCAAGCGACTTGCTGCTCTAGAGATGAAGCTACTCCGGATCGCCACCAGTGCACCATCCTACGTAAGAAACTCAACCTTGCATAGAGACCTGCATTGGGACACCATTCACGAGTACATGAGGAAAAAGCTCAGGACCACCCGAACGAGCAGCTACGACTCCTTATGGACTACGATCCGGACCAGAGGCCTCGCAACCGCAGAGCCAAGTACCCTAAACCCAAGTCACAATTGGCAGGCGCTAACTGGAACCTTGACTAGGAGTACTCGAGGTTGCCCCCCCCACGACGTGGAATGAAAGCAGAGGACGAGGACCAGGACGACCAGGACCAAAACCCATCAGGACCAGGTAACAAACAAGTAGATGACTTGAAACTCTTGATTTTTCGAAAAAAAAAGTTTCAAGAGAACATAGCAAACCCCTCTATCGATGCTCGCTTAACGACATCGATAGAACTGTGCGAGGTAAAGGGAACCAACCCGGCGTTCCCAGAGACTGAAAGACATGAGAGACGTTGTAGCAGACCGCAGGTCACGCACAACACATGGCCTTACCGAGACGCTGATGAGTCGGGCCACGCGGAGGTTAGGGTTTAGTGGGTATTAGGTGGTCTCCTCAAGACAACCTGGAGTCCCACACACGCCGTAGCTCGGGCTATGGTATGGTGCATAAACGCATTCACCTCTCACAAAAAAAAGAGGAGGAGGCAAGAGTACTGAAGACGGAGAGTAGCAGAGCGGAGTGGAGTTTAGTGCAGTCAATGGCGACGTAAGAATTAGTCAGACATAAACAGTGGTGTATACTCGTATAAATGTTCTATCAAGTCAAATAAATTAGTGCGTTTCTTTTTGTGGAATCCAGTGTTTTAATCCTCACCCAAAAGAACCCAGAAAAACGCCAAAATACGTAGGTGTTTACCTTTTTTCGTCACTTAGTACATTACAACTGCGCTGTTTCAGGATGTATAGCCATATGCTTATCTGAATCAGTTTTCCTTACACTTTTATATGGACAAATTGGGCACTCGTATATTTTCCTTGTAACCGACGCGGAATAATCCGGATGCTTCTTTACTATATGATCATCCAGCAGTGCCTTGCTTTTGAAAACTTTATCGCAATGTACGCACGATACGAACAAATTAGACGCCGCTTTAGGGTGCGAACCCATCATGTGCCTTTCCAACGAACTTTTAGATATCGTTTTAAATTCACATTTGGTGCACTCGTGTATTTTACGTTTAACCGACTCTATAAACGTTGGATGCGTTTTAATTATATGATCGTCCAGCGATTCTGGCTTTTTGAAAGTAGATTTGCAGTGCGCGCAGACGCTCATCGTTGTGTTCGAATCAGGATGCGCCGCCGTCATATGTCTCTCTATTTTATACTTTTTCACAGTTTTGAACGTGCACTTTGGGCATTGGTGTATCTTACGCGAAACTGCTGCTATGAAATCTGGATGTTTTCTTACGATGTGATCATCTAGCAATTCCTTACTCTTGAAAACGTCCTCGCAATGCATACACGCGATGAACAAGTTAGTCGCTGCGTTAGGATGATAAATCATCGTATGACTTTCAAGTTTCGCCTTAGCTATCGTTTTAAACGGACAAATTGGACATTCCAATATTTTTCTAGTAACGGACGCGGAACGATCTGGATGCTTCTTTACCACGTGATCGTCTAGCGACGCTTTACTTTTGAAAACTGCTTCGCAGTGCATGCATCTGATGAACAAGTCGGATGCTGTTATAGGGTGTACATTCATCATGTGTTTTTTCCAGTCTACCTTTAGCAGTTGATTTGAATGGACAAATTGAACATTCGTGTAGTTTGCTTACAATTGACCCGCAACAATCCGGATGCTTTTTTACTATATGCTCATCTAGCGATTGCTGACTTTTGAAGATTTTGATACAATACGTGCACGGGATAGACAAGACAGATGCCGATTTCAGGTGTACATTCGTCATGTGTTTTCTCCAGCTTGCCTTTCCATATTGTTTTTAACGGACAATGGTGCATTCGTAAATTTTTCGGTTGACACTTGACATGAAAGTCGGATGTATTTTAACTATATGATCGTCCAGAGATTCCGGTTTTTTAAACGTAGAACTGCAATGCGCGCACACGTTCCGATTTCCTTTTGAACCGGGATGTACTCCTGAAATGTGTCTACGTATTTTGTACTTTGAGATACTCTTAAAATCGCATTTCGGGCATTGAATTATTTTACGCGAAACTGAAGCTATAAAATCTGGGTGTTTTTTTATGATATGATCATCTAGAGATTCCGCTTTTACAAAAGAGGCATTGCAATATTCGCACATGATTAAATCGGCACTTTCGATAGATTCGCATTATCTTCATTCAAATGACTCATTAAGTCAGCAGTACAGTTTGCCACATAGTTACATTTGTAACAAACGAATAATTCCCTTACTGCTCTGCATGCATCCACTACGCCCAGTCCTTTTTCCTTGCATTTCCTCATTCTCTCGCTGAAAAAGAATTACAATAATTACACCTCGGCTCCTTCAAAAGTCACATTACTATCTTCAAGGCAACAAAAAATTTCATTCAAAGGGCACTACTAGAACAAGTACTTCTCGATTTTAATTTGGCGCCATTTTGCAGGGACTTGCGACATTTTAAATTGCGATTGTGGCATTTCCACTGCCGGGCAGACAACATTTTGCTAAAATTAAATTTTAAATAACTTTTTAACCTTTGCATCAATTACGTTATTTTTTTCGTTATACAGGGTGTAACTAAAAGATGCATTTTGCCCTAAACTTCCGAACACCCTGTGAAAACATTTGATTACTGAATAATGTGTCTTCGTATGAGAATTTAAAGCCTCAACTTTTCTCAAGAGTTCCTTTTATGATTCATGTCAATATCTCAATTATTGAAGAATATATGCAATTCATAGCCATAAACAAGAAATTTTTTCAAGCAGGCTTGGCCGGGTAAGAAATTGTTTGAAGTAGGTTGTGTCTGTTAGCATTTGTAGCTTTACGACTCCTCATGGACTACGATCCGGATGAGAGGCCTCGCAACCACAGAGCTAAGTACCCTAGACCCACGTCACAGTTGGCAGGCGCTACGAGGTTGCCCCGCCCCGCGCCCCGCCCCGCCCGCGCTCCGCCCCGCCCCCCACGACGTGGAATGAAAGCAGAGGACGAGGACCAGGACGACCAGGACCCATCAGGCCCAGGACCAGCACCCATCAGGACCAGGTAACAAACAAGTAGAGGACTTGAAACTCTTGATTTTTCGAAAACAAAAGTTTCAAGAGAACATAGCAAACCCTCTATCGATGCTCGCTTAAAGACATCGATAGAACTGTGCGAGGTAGAGGGAACCAACCCGGCGTTCCCAGAGACTGAAACCGTGAGGAGACGTTGTAGCAGACCGCAGGTCACTCACAACACACGGCCTTACCGAGACGCTGTTGAGTCGGGCCACGCAGAGGTTAGGGTTTAATGGGTATTAGGTGGTCTCCTCACGACAACCTGGAGTCCCACACCCGTAGCTCGGGCTATGGTATGGTGCATAAACGCATTCACCCCTCACAAAAAAAAGATGGAGGCAGAGATTACTGAATACTAGAGTAGCAGAGCGGAGTGGAGTCTAGTGCAGTCAGTGGCGACGTAAGAATTAGTCAGACATAAATAGTGGTGTATACTCGTATAAATGTTCTATCAAGTCAAATAAATTAGTACATTTCTTTTTGTGAAATCCAGTGTTTTAATCCACACCCAGAAAAACATTACAATTCGTGGGTTTTTACCTCAAGGCAACAAAAAATTTGAATTAAAGGGCACTACTAGAACAAGTACTTCTCGATTTTAATTTGGTGCCATTTTGCAGGCACCTAAGACATTTTAAATTGCGAATGTGGCATTTCCACTGCCGGGCAGACAAAAATTTTTAAAATTAAATTTTAAATAACTTTTTAACCTTTTCATCAATTTCGTTAATTTTTTCGTCAAGTTGCAGGTAATTTCATCGACATCACTTATCGATTGCCGATCCTGCAAAAAAACTGAAAATGTTTGTTGTTATACAGGGTGTAACTAAAAGGTGCATTTTGCCCTAGATTTCCGAACACCCTGTGGAAACACTGGATTACTGAATTATATGTCTTCGTATGAGAATTTAAAGTCTCAACTTTTCCCAACAGTTCTTTTTATGATTCATGTCAATATCTCAATTATTGAAGAAGATATGCTGTTTTGAAGAAAATCATGCAAATGGTCGTCCTGTTCAGTATATCGCAGAAAGGCTTGCCGTTCCACGCAGTACGTAAATATTTAGAGAAACTGATGGAGGAGTAATGGTATGGGGCGGTATTTCTTTGGAATCCCGCACAGATCTTGTTTCGCTGCGAGGACTGTTTGGAAGAACATGGGGTTCCTCATATGCCCTTTATAGAAGAAAATTTGTTCCTAATGCAAGATTATGCTAGTACGCATATAGCCAGAATGACTAAACAATACCTCAAGTATTAGACTGGCCGTCAAGGAGTCCGGATCTCAACCCCATTGAACACATGTGGGATACATTAGGAAGAAGGCTTAGGCAGAACTATGAAAAGAACAGGGGCTGGTAAACGATTGGGAGCAAATCCCCAAGACACGATAACTGGTTTAATTGAATCTATGCCAGAGAGAATGAGAGCTGTTATTCAAAGTCTGGGAGGAAATACTCGTTTTTGATAAAAATTTTAATAAAACTGTTATTTAAGTTTAAATGTATATGGTCATGATTCGCATAGTTTTCTTACCAATGTTGCCACTGTAATTTTTTAAATTAAATTGTGTATGACTATGATTCGGACGATTTTTTTCAAAACAGCAATAACTGAGATATTGACATGGATCAAAAAAGAACTGTTGGGAAATGTTGAGGCTTTACATTCTCACACGAAGACACATCATTTAGTAGTCCAATGTTTTCACAGGGTGTTCAGAAATTTAGGGCAAAATGCACCTTTTAAGGTTAAAAAGTTATTTAAAATACCCGGGAATTTAATTGCGGGTAATTTTATGATGCACAGTGGAAGGCTTCTGAATTGTGTAAGCGTAAAAAACTTCGTAAAATACTATGGTGAGGCGGCGAACGATAACACAAATATGTAGCTTTACCGACGCCAGTATTTCAATCGTGGTTATACAGGGTGTTTTCAAAGTTAAGTATTTTAACTGCTTGTAGGACTCGCCAAAAATCACCTAAAAAGTTACTTAATAAAAGAATTAGTAGAAAATTAAAAATTTTGAAAGATAATGTTATTACACAGATTTTTTGATATTCTCGACCACTGCCGTGTAAAATCTTAGCGGCTCTTTGTTTACTACTCTTATCGTTTATCTAAACTTTTTTGTGCTATTGTATAGTTTGTACGAGTCTCTCGACCAGTTGTAACGGGTGTTTTTTTTTCGAGGTACAGAACTTTAAGTTAGCATTACTCTTGAAGATGGCGACCGATTTGACAGCTGTCAAGTGATTTATTCTCAGTTTGGTTTGGCGATTCATCATGAATAGACTCACGCCTGAACAACGTTTGCAAATTGTGCAGTTTTATTTCGAAAATAATGGTTCTGTGCGGAATAAGTATCGCGCAAAATCCAACTCGTGCAAGAATTGAAGCCAAACGATCATCAAGCAAGGCGCAGATTCGTTGAATGGGCCCAAAACGAGATTGCCGTTGTTTGTTATGTGTGTTGTGTGTGTGAGAGGGCGTTAGTGAACTTGATGTTTACAGTTCCACAAGGTGTTTTTTTTTGTTGGATGAGTTATTTTTGCCTGTTTCCTACCACAGTTTTTTGTACGATTTTTACCTGTCTGTTACTCGGAATTATCTGTTCAGGCAGTGTATGGGTTATAAAATAAAAAGAATGAAAATAAAAATCTGGCTAAGTACGGAAGCCTTGAATATAACTACCGAGCGAAAGAAAGCAGTACGTCAGCTTTTAAGGGAGTTGTCCTGAGGTCCTAGAGATGAAGCAGGGGTCCCCCAGGGTTCCGTTACAGGTCCCACGCTTTTTATAATATTCATAAATGATCTGGCCCTCTGCAACAGAGCATTGCTCTGTATGGAGACGAAACTGCTGATCATTGAAACACAGTAGATAACGTACAAGTAAAAATTTGGTTTCCTGAGCGTACTTTGCTTGTAACTAGCGTTTGTTTGTTTTTGACTGCTTCATCCTGCTGCTGCTTTTGGGTGTGCACTTCATCGCATGCCTTCCCAGCATGCTTTTGACTACTGATTTAAACGGACAATTCGGACATTCGAATATTTTTCTTGCAACAGAATCGGAACAGTCTGGATGCTTCTGTAGTACATGCTCATCCAGAGCTACTTTCCTTTTGAAAAGTTTATCGCAATGTACACACGTGACGAACAAGCTGGATGCAGCTTTAGGGTGCGCACCCATCATATGCCTTTCCAACGTACGTTTACTTATCGTTTTAAATTCACATATTGGTACATTCGTGTATTTTCCTTTTAACAGACGATATGAACGTGGGATGTATTCTGACTATATGATCGTCCAACGATTCTTGCTTTTTGAAAGTAGATTTACAATGAGCGCATGCGTGCAGAAGTGAGTTTGAATCAGGATGATATGATCTCGTATGCCCATTTATTTTATACTTTATATGCTTTTTAGACTGTCTTCGGTGCTAATACAACGTTGCAATTCGGCATTTTTCGAGGGCAGAAAATAATATGTGCAACTTGGATCGCCCATCTGTGTACAATCTATCTAGTCTAGTCAAATGTAGAAATATGTATGTAGCTTGTTTTATGTAACTATTGATTGTCGTTTTAGATAATAATATTTCATTTTATTTGCCTATTCCGCGAAAAAATTTATTGTTATTTTCGCCACTTTTTGTTATGTGTAATGTGTGGTGTGAGGGCGTTAGTGAACTTGATGTTTACAGTTCCACAAGGTGTCTTTTTTACTGTTGGATGAGATATTTTTGCCTGTTTCCTACCACAGGTTTTTGTACGATTTTTTCCTGTCAATCGGAATTATCTGTTCAGGCAGTGTATGGGTTATAAAATAGAAAGAATGAAAATAAAAATCTGGCAAAGTACGGAAGCCTTGAATATAACTACCGAGTGAAAGAAAGCAGTACGTCAGCTTTTAAGGGAGTTGTCCTGAGGTCCTAGAGATGAAGCAGGGGTCCCCCAGGGTTCCGTTACAGGTCCCACGCTTTTTAGAATATTCATAAATGATCTGGCCCTCTGCAACAGAGCATTGGAGACGAAACTGCTGATCATTGAAACACTTTAGATAATGTACAAGTAAAAATTTGGTTTCCTGTGCGTACTTTGCTTGTAACTAGCGTTTGTTTGTTTTTGACTGCTTCATCCTGCTGCTGCTTTTGGGTGTGCACTTCATCGTATGCCTTCCGAGCATGCTTTTGACTACTGTTTTAAACGGACAATTCGGACATTCGAATATTTTTCTTGCAACAG